AAAATTTGGAGGATACTTTGGAGTTAGATGGCAAGCCAGATGATATTGAAGAAAAGGTTTGGAAGAAGATGAATCAGATGACATATGGTGTAATTAGGTCTTGTTTTACACAAGATTTGAAGTATGATGTGATGAATGAGACTTCTACAAAGAAGATTTGGTAGACCCTTGAGAGTAAGTATTTGACCAAGAGTGTGGAAAATCGCTTGCATTTGAAGAGGAGGCTTTATTGCTTCTAATTGAAGAAGGGAACCTCTATTAGTGATCACATGAATCACTACACGAAGCTTCTTACAGATTTGGCGAATGTGGATGTTATGATTAAAGATGAGGACAAAGCGTTACTGTTGTTGAGTTCCTTGCCTGATGAGGAATACGAGACCTTTGTTCTTACCCTAATTAATAGGAAGACGTCCATTTTGTATAGTGATGTCACCGCTGCACTTGTGAACTATCAGCTTTGAAAGAAGGATAAGGAGGCTTCAGTTGAGCCGGTAGCGGAGGCATTGGTCGCAAGAGGAAAAAGTCCAAACCGAAAGAATTGAAAGTCATAGTCTAGAGTAGGGCATCCTACAGTTGGAAAAGATCAGTGTGCTTGGTGCAAAGAGACTCGTTATTGAAAGAAAGATTGTCCAAAGCTTGATGAATGGATGAAGAATAAGCAGAAGGGAAAAGGAAAGCAACCATCATCAGAAGCAAACATCATTATATTGGATGGTAATATTTTTCTGATACTTCTATTTATTCGCTTTCTATCAGTCCTACAGGTAGCTATTCGGAGGAATCCGAGTGGATGTTGGATAGTAGTGCGACCTATCATGTGTGTCCTAGAAGAGAATGGTTCTCTAGTTTTGAGAAACTGGATAGTGGTGTGGTGTACATGGGAGACAACCGTGCATGCCAGATCCTTAGGATTGGAAGAATTCGCATCAAGATGTTTGACGGGACTGTTAGAGAATTATATGATATGAGATATGTTCCTTCCTTGAGGAAAAACTTGATCTTAATTGGATCTTTGGTTGGAGAGGGTCTGAAGATTCGTGTTGAGGACATAGTTCTCGAGACCGTGGAAGACTCTTTGATTGTGATGAAGGGCATCAGGAGGAATAACCTATACTATTTGATTGGAGATACAGTGATAGGTGGAGAGCTGGCGACTTCTGTTGATTCGACTAGACTACGACATTTGGAGCTTTGTCATTCCAGTATTGATTTAAAGATGGGTGCAACGACCTATAATTTGAAATCCAGAGAACACTTTGGTGTGAGCAAGAAGACCAAGGTGAAGGTTGGCACCTCTATTCACCGTACGGAGGGTCTTTCAGATGGGGTTCACATGGATGTTTAGGGGCCTTCCAAGGAGGCATCATTGAGAGGAAATAAATGTTTAGTTTCCTTTGTTGGTAGCTGTTCTAGGCGAGTTTGAGTTACAACCAAATACTCTTTGGATAAAGTCCTAGTAGTCTCCAATAGATTGAAGAAGTGTATGATAGACAGAAAGGTGAAGGTACTTCATTCTGGTTTTGGTGGGAGATACAAGATGGACCTGTTTCTATTTTGGAGCCGAGCTCACGGCATTTCGAGACACTTCGTTAGAAAGGAAATCTTGGGGAAACTAAATAGGGTGGCAAATTTTGAGAACCGTGCCTTGTTAGAGGAGGATTGGTGTTTGTTATCAAGCAATAGTTTGCAGAAGGGTTTCTGGACTGAGGCTTCGACATATTCGGGTCATCCTATTAAAGAGTTGTCAACTACTATGATTAGAGGTAAAACTCAATTGGATACTTGGTCTGATAATGTCACATTGGATGAGGCTTCGATGAGGGAGCCTATTGACTCTCAGTAGGTGGAGAGTTTTGGATAGATCATAGAGGTATCACATCAGGTGGAGAGTGATGCTACTTCACATTGAGTGGAGATTACTCCATATACTCCAGATCATTCTGTATTGGTTCGGATTCTAGCTGAGGTGACACGGTTTAGGGATCAATTGGTTTTGGATACAGATAATGAGTTGGGTTTTGATTCGAGTGCAGCTGATAGATGTAGTTTGGATATGGCCATTGGAGGTGCTATCATCCGCAGAGTTGATGATATTGAAGGAGGGTTGTGAACTCTTCTATTGGATTGAGGTTGTTTGCGGACATTTGGATGAACTACGTGAGGCTTGATTCCTTGGGCAAGAGGATACATAGGCAGTTATTTATGATGTAGCCGATTTGATGGGTAGATACCAATATTTGGAGAGTATTCGCATTCTTATTTGGGTCTCAACTTGTTATGGATTGAGTCCGTTGTCGTGAATCATTTCACTTCATACTGGACGCAATAAGTGAGCCATTTGTTTTGGTTGGTGTCGGCTCAGTTTTGGGAAAACTTCACCGAGGTGGAGAATTGTGAGAAGATAACGTGTGGGGGCCACAAGTGTGAATGCGGTTTTGCTTTCTGTGTGGGAAGCTAAATGTGGGGGCCACCATATTTCTCGCTGTGTTTTTTGATTGCCCACCTGATTGATTTGCAGCCAATATATATAGCTACAAATCATTTTCGGTTTCTAGGTTTTAGGAGGGCAAGGCAAAAAGTTTTATTTTTGGGGAGTAGCGGCTTCGTGCGCATAAAGGAAGGGAAACACAGAGGCCTGGGTGACGTGCAAGTATAGGGGAAAATTGTAGAGCTTCGTGCAGAGGAGAAAAACCCTATTCGGCGACTGTCCTTTTAAAAGAGAGATTGTGAGGAATTTGAGAGATTGTTTGAGGGTTTAATTTTGTGTGATTGTAAACCCTATTTGTATTAATCTATCCCTCTAATAGTAGATCTCCCTCCTCCTTGCCCTGTGAACGTAGGCAATTTGTCGAACCATATTAAAATTGATTGTTCGTGCTGTGATTTGTAATAGAGAGTTTAGGTTCCCTCAACAGGTCAGTCCTAGAACTGATGAAAGGAAGAGCTGATATCCCACTTTGTTGAGATATTTTGCTTTCGGTTCTTGTTTTCTTTGTGAAACAGGGATTTAGTTGAGATCTACTCTCTTGTCGAGCACCAGAGGTGCTGCCAAAATTTCCGCTGCGCACAACAGAGTTACCTATTTCAAATGCCCTATTGGTGGAGGAGGTCTAATTAAAATATCAATTTGATAATTTAGTCATTTATTGTCTGTAACATTTAATTAAATATTTTATCGATTTCTTTTATTGAATATTGGTATGAAATTGGGAAGTACTCATATTTTATAGTAGAAACTTTTTTATATCTATTCTAATTTGCCAAGGAAATAATGTGTTGACTTTCAATCCTCTCTACTGTCAATAAATGGAAGAAACCGCCGTCTATTGTTTACTAGATGTTGTGATTAATTCCAATTTTACACTTATCTAGCCTTTGTGTAATACATTCATTGTGACTCTCATTCAAGATGATTCACTACCTTGAACTGAACTATAAATGATTCTAAGGTTGATGTTTGATGATGTCTCCATTAATTTTTGTTAGTAGAGAGATTCTAAATCTCAAATTATGAAAATTTCTAAAAAATCCAGAAAAAGGGTAAAAAAAGAAAACAAAATATGTATATGCTTTTGTTTAATTAATTTAAACAATGGGATAAACAATCTGCATATGAAATCACATTCAAATGTACATCATTAAACGAAGAGTATAATTCATCCTAAGTTTTCTTTTTCTTTCTGGACAATGTCTTTTTAGGTAAAAATTACTTATGTTTTTCTTACGATTGTTCAGTTTTATCTCTGTTTCAGTCTTCATAGTTCAAAAATTATAGGAATCACTGACTCAGATCATAGTAATAGATTCAAATTCTTTCAAACTAACCTATTTTTCCGATAGAATTTTTTTAGAAAACCAGTTTTATTTGGTAACAATCTTTGGTTTGCTGACTCAGATCATAGTAATCGTGCTGTATCTGCAACTAACCTATTTTGCCAATAGAAAATTTTCTCAACTTCAGAAATTTACTATAAAAATTTCCAATAGATGAAGTGAAAAGACAAAAAATTATATTAAACATAGGAGAAATGAAAGGTAAGATAGAGGAGATGTTTTTCTCTCCTATAAAATAGGATGCATAAAACTAATTTTAATCTTAGTCTTTCAAAAATAATTAGGACTAAAATTATAAGCATCGATTCAAAGTCAATCCTATGAACATGATTCGTCGATCCTCCCAACTACTATAATCGTAATAAGGAAATCATTACTTTTGATAGCAAATGTCAAAATTTTAGTAGATGGTTGTGACTTATTTCAAAATTTAGTAATTCTCGAATCTCTTTGTATTGCACTTATTTTTAACTTTTTGAATGACAACCATAAACTAAACATTAAATAATTATGCTTAATTATTATAATCTATCCCTGCTTTTTTATTGTAAAGAAACCGAATTCAACTCAAGTTATGACTTAACAAAAAAAGAAAAGCAAAAAAGATGTATTTATAGTATATATCAAACATGTAGATATTATCAACCCAGAATTATTAATAGTATCCGACTCTTGGATGGGACTAACACATAAACTAGTCAAAAATAAAAATTTAAAGTATTTTAATTTCTTTTAAATAATATATCAAGGGGAAAGAAATAAGTAACTTCATTAAAATTCCGTAACATGATTTTTACGGCATATGGTTCATGGGTTAATGATGCTAAATCATTTGAAATTATTTTTCTTGATAGGTTCATCCGTAATAGATTACATTCAACGGTTTGGATTTTTATTTTTAGACCCCAAACTTTAAGACTTGGTTGACAATATCTGGATGTTGGATACTATTAAAAATAACCTGGGTCAAACTCTTTCAACTCTTTTATTGTAAACTAGGAAGTAAACAAGCATTGGCATCTCCATGGAAATCACACTCAAACCTGAAACAAAGAGTACAACTCTCCTACACATAGCTCCTCCCCCCCCCCCCCCCCATTTTATTACTCACTCGACTCACTACAGTATAGGGAATTGGGAGCCCTATAATAAGCAGTAAATCATTAAGCGCAGACAGTGGGATTGGCAACAAGGTAGGCTTCTGCAGCCTTGATAGCATTTGTCATCATTTCTTTTCCCTTTGCAACCTCGTCGCTTGCATCAACTCCGGGTAGAGTCTTGTAAGTACCCTCAAGCTTAACAACACATCCTCCATTGCTCGATGGCACGAGCTTGAAATGAGAAGAGGCTGACTCAAGCTTAGTACCGAGATCACCACCTTCAATTATGCTACTCTGCACTCAAAATTGGCCTCGTCGACAATTCCACCTCTCTTTGAGGTAGGGAAAGGCGCATTGCTGCCACATATACAGAAAACAAATTTACTAAGCCAATAAGTTCTTCGTTAGGATGGACATGAAAGGTCAGTGATTAAACCTGAAGTGAAATTGATCTGCCTAATGCTTCCCACGCCACCATCAGCGGCTACAACGCTAGCACTCGACACAATTTCAGGCAGGATCTTGGGAGCCAGGTTGTGCCATTCCGTCATAGCAGCCTTAAAAAGGCGAGCAGCAGAGACTGAGGACTCGATCTCATGGCTAACGGTGCTGGAGCTCATATTGCCTTAAGTTTATTAAAAATAATCTAATTAATTTGCTTAATAAGATGAAGAGGTTTTTGATGAAAGATGGGTGAGTTATGAATGGGCTTTTATAGATGTGGAGTGATAACTGTGTAACTAATATAAAATGCGCATTGGGTCGCTAGCTCACCTAACAATTCAAAGATGGGCGCGCAGTGTTTTTCCCTTTCTTGAGAAGGACGATTCAAAGTGAACCGTAGCTGCTCATCATGGCTGAAATATTGGTAGCTAAGAAATTAAAATTCGGAGCATGTATCGCGTAGGTAACTGGACTTTGGGATAAAAACGAAATGCATGTGAAGGCTTCTAGAAATTATATATATTTTATCTAATTAGTCGACAATCTGTGTGATGCCGACGATGCCTCGCACTTTCTTGTTCCTGGCCCATCAGTCACGTTGATCACTCCTCACCAGCTCTTTCAGTCTCCACGTGCATTCTATACTTATCAAGTCGAAAATTATAACTTAAAACTCTGATATCAATTATTAAAATTCGATTAAGGATCAATCTAGTAGATGTACATTCATGTGTGGACCGATTAACAAGAAAGAAACTGCATTTGATAGTAACAAGAAACTCTTGTAGGACTTCGAATCAAATATCATTTACATTCAATTATATTTGTTAATGGCCGGTGTTTGGTAGAACTTTATGTTTATACTTATTGGGACCACTTCTTTTTTTAAGGAGCAGTTTTTAGAAGTGATTGATTGAGCTTTTAAGGGAAGCTTATGCTTTTATAGCTTTTATACTATGTATACAAGCTTTTGATAATATTACATTACTTATTTTAGAAATTGTTATGGTGTTTTCAGTCGCCAAATTATGACCCCTTACCGACAACGTGCGAGTATCCCCGCTATGCACTATTTAGTTAACTCGTCACTTAGGACAGCCAGAGACGACCTAGCCCACTCATCGAATCAACATCTGACTAGGTCGACACGAATGACGATTTTTTGTTCTCTCATCAAATGCGACTTGCTACGAATCCACTCAGCCTGTTAATTAGCTATCGTGTCGCTTAGTTGACTCGAAAGGCGTTACTTATCGGCACCCCTTGATACAAGTCAAAAGGAAACTTTGACCTCGAGCCCCTGCTGATAGCGCGTCGACATCACATTAAATACTTGGCGGGTGCCATCGTTTATCTATCTCTAACACTATTTATGACACATCGATAAGAATTTTTGTGCTTGTACAAAGCTATGAACGGCGCAGATTCTCATCTCCTTATAGTACTATAGTATAGTATATAATAATAATGTAGTATATATAGTATATATATTTATAGATATATGTATATATATGGTATGATAGTAGTATATGGTACAGATTATCTTATTATATTATATATACATATATAGTATATATATATATATAGAATAGTACGTATGAGAGTTATGGGTATAC